TCCGTGCCGCTGCAGCGAGCCGTGCGGCATCCCAGCGCCCACGCAGCTCAGAAACGCGCTTTCTGTGAGGGCGTCACGTGCCTGACATTCATTCTGGGGGCGGAACGGGCGCTCCGAGTTCACTCTGGGTTTCCTGCTGGTCCTTGCCCGCCTGGCTGCCTGGGACAAACGCGCACAGGTGCTCCTTCCACCCCCTCACTGGCCCTCCCAGCCCCCCTCCCGCCACCCCCGTGTGAGTGGCTATGTCCCCAGAGCAGCTCCGACAGCCAGGCCCGGGCCACTCACCCACATTCGCCTCCCGGGTCTGGTCCTGGGGCCCCCGCCAAGGCTCCGCAGAAACTCTGGGGTCTGAATTCAACAGACCTCACCCCAGAGGGCCGACGTCCTTTCCCAAAGCACACCTGGTGCTCTCGTGTAAAAAATAACCGTCATTCAGTTCACTCATGAAGTGAAGCAAATACGCTTGTTTAGCGTCGACGGGCAGGTCCAGCCCGAAGCTTCGGCAGCGCAGGTGACCTGCCCCCACGGCTCTCAGCGCACAAAGGGGAGCCGGGCAGACGAACGCCCGGGCTCCGCTCCCGAGACCCAGCCTCTGCGGGTGTCCGCCCCTAACCGTCAGGTCCGAGTCCCACCGCGGGCCGCACCGACTGACCTCTCCCCAGAGCTTCAGTGAGACCGCGGCTCACAGAGGCCGCAGGCTTGGCCAGCAGAGGGCCGGATGGCGACCCTTTCGGGCTTTGCGGGCCTGCACTTGGGTCCTGCTCACCCGACTGACGCGGCCCGGGGAGGGTCAGGTCGTCTGGGGCGCATGTTTCAGCTTCTCCTGCGGCATGTCCCCCCACAGAGGGAAGCAGGGGGGCATGGGACATCCCCCGAGTCCCTGCAAAGGACAGTGGGCCCGTGCCTGGGGTGGGCAGTGGACCTGAGATCCCCAGAGCCAGCTCAGGGCCCCTCCATCTTTCCAAGCACCTGGGAAGAGGCCCCTGCATGGCACAGGTGGCTGACGGGGACCTGATGGCCGGCAGGAGGTGGCAGCCACAGGTACAAGATTCTTCTCAGCCATTTGCAACCCAGCGATTCCGGGGGAGTTTCAGGGTGTGGTATTGTACCGGGTGAGCCTGGGACGTCCGCGCAGGTCAGAAGCCAGGTCTTGGCTTCCTCCTCCCCCGTGATAAAGCCCGCGGCCACCGCTCACAGGGCCCGGCGGGGTCTCTCTGGAAGGACCACAGGGACAAAGGGCCGGAAGGAGTCCCGGGGAAGGCAGTGGCCAGGCCGGGGGCTGAGAGCTGGGCTGGGGACCGCCTGCTTCCCTGTGGCCGAGGCGAGTCGTGATTATCGGGCAGAGTGGCCGTGGGGCACGGGCCACTCGGCCGTGAGGACTGGGCTGTGCGTTTCACCTCGGCATCGCCGCACCGCCTGCGCATGGGAAGCTGAGCGTAGGGACCGGCCTCCCTGCCGTGTGACGCAGGAATTCAGACCCCGAGACGGGCACTGTGGACCCCCGGCCGACCCTGCTGTGGGAGGGCTCGAGGGGTGAGCTCTTCGGAGAAAATAAAAACTACATGTTCTGGGCACACAAAGGAGGCCTCAGTGGGAGCGGGGTGGGCGGATCAGACTCGCTCGTGAAAGGTTTTAAAGAGACCTCCCCGCGAGCCGGGCGGGCGGCCGCATGCCTGTCATAGATGCAGGATTTCTGCCATAGCAAGTGCTCGGCCACACCAAGGCCTTTTGTCTCCCTCCCCCTCTTCGGCGGCCCCAGGCAAGCCCGCCGGGGACAAAAGTGCTCTGCACACAAGGAGGGCCCTCTTCAGCCCTGGCCCACGCGGGCAAATTCCTGGGCCCGCAGCCCCTTTGCAGCAAGCAGCTGACCCAAGACACGTGGGCTCCGCCAGCTGAGAAAGCAGACAAGCGAACAGGAAGCAGTTTAGGGAAACAGAGGCAGCAGCTCTGCGGGGCGGACCCTGGGGAAACCAGCAGCCACAAGAGCAGGCCTCCGGGTGGGACAGGACAGGCAGGAAGGGGACAGGTGCCAGGTGCAGGAGGGCCACTCGGGGGCCTGCCCTGGGGGGCCTTGCACTGGGAAGCTTAGTTTTGGGGGTCACCATGACGTGTGGGCAGAATCCATGAGGGACGCAAGGGCAGGGAGCTTTAGAGGCGCAGCGACCCCGGGCGGCGGTGGCAAAGGGAGGAGAGGCACCGGGGTGGTCTGGGCTCCTGTTGGGAATGGTCGGGGGTGGGGGAGCCCCGAGAGGGAGGCCCCTGCCTGTGAGGGGCGACGTGGTGGGAGCAGCCGGACGCGGGGGTCTTCAGCGGGAGACCCTCAGCCACGACAGCCGTCGGTCTTCAGACGCCACAGCCTGCTTGGCAGCACCGCCGCCCTGCCGTGCTGGGGTCCACCCACCCAGGGTTTCCAGGCCCGCTCTCGCCGTCAGCTGAGGGGTGGCGTTTGGTTCTGAGGGAGCGCCCCGGCCGGCTCCAGCTGCTGCCTCCACGTTCTTGGGATGGCACATCCTAGACCCGCGGGTGGTCCCACTGGCCCAGCTCCAGGTTGGTCCCAGTCGAGGCTGGGCACCGGGCTTTAACGTGATTGACGCCGATATTAATTCACAAATTGAAAGGGCCTCGGCCTCCCAGAGCACCGCGCATCCACAGATTTCGGCTCTCCCCGCACCCCTGCGTGCGGGGGAAGCAGCTTTCCCACACAGACGCCTGTGGCTCACGAACTGCTGTATCCAGGCCCACAAAGCCCAGCTGGGGTGGGAGTGTCAGTGTTCAGACCCGCGCCGTGTGACTCACGCGCTCAGCCCAGTACAACGCCAGGGCTGTTCCCCCTCACATTCGAGCGGGCTCTCGTCGGCCACGGAATCCAAACCGGGGCCGGAAAGTCGGGCTGTTTCTGGGGAAACCTGCAAACTGTCCCTGCAAAAGCCTGCAGCTCGGTGCTGCCCAGTGTCCCACGGGGTCGAGGTTCATCCGAGGGCGTGGCAGACACGCGTGTCCCGTGTGTGGCATCTCCAAGGCCTGGGCCCGGCTGCATGGGGCACCCGTGACACCTCTGCCAGCAGAGGTCACAGCAGCCTGGGGCTGACCGCAGGCCTTGTGCTCTCTCACCTGCAACGTCCCTGATACTCGTGGGGGGGGGGGGGGACTCTGCTCTGCAAAGTGGGGCCAGTGCACTGACTGCCTGGTGACTGTCCCTCGTGGGGCGGCTGCGTGACCCCCCTGATGCTATTGGGTGAGTGGGGGGTCCTTGGCCTTTTGCCGTTGGCTCATGGGGTGAAAGAAGCCTGTTCGGCAGACACACAGCCACTCGGACCCCGACAGGCCCCACACCCCTCGGGCCGCCATCCCAGCCCGTCTGGTTTCCGCCCCGCCCGAGGTCGGCACCTGCTGCCGCCACCTCAGGCTCAGGCCTCTCTGCTGCTCCCTGGCGATGCCCCCAGGCTGACCCCCCCGGCCGGGCCCCGGGGCCCTTCCCTCCACAGGAGCGCCAGCCCACCCGCAGGCGCCACAGCACAGTCCCACGTCACCCGATGTCCCTTCAGGGGCCTTGCTGCCCCCATCCTGCACTGCCTCCCCTCACATCTTCACGTGGTGTGAGATGGCACATCACACCCACTTCCTGTGGCCGTGGCACCGACTGCCTCAGGCCGCGCGGCCTGGAGCAAGGGCCTGGAGACCACAGGGCTGGCACCAGACTGCCGGCAGGACCCCGGTCCCCAGAGGCTCCGGGCCAGGGTCTCCTCTGTGGTCTTCCAATGCTCCCGCAGCCACAAGCCCCTGGTCCTGTAGACTCCTCCGCTCGGTCCCCGAGGGCATCCTCCCCTGGCCTTTTCCCCGGTGTCTGAGTCCCAGGCTGCTCTTAGAAGGGTGCCGGCCACTGGACCAGGGCCCACTCCACGCCAGCCTGACCCTGTGTGAACTTGATGACACCTGCAGGCAACCCTGTTTCTGACAAGGTCACATTTGTAGCATCCAAGGGTTAGGACGGGGGTGGGGGTGCTATTCAACCCGCACATACGTTCATGAGACGTTCATCAGACGAGGTCTGCTTGTCCATCACTGCAAACCAAACACCTAGCACGGGAGTCACACTCACTAGGCGCTTGGGAAATGGCAGGTGGGCGGGTGAGTAATTGGGTGAGTGGGTGGGTGGATGGAGGGACAGGGGAACGGCTGGATGCTGTTGGGTCAATGCCAGTGCGCAGACTGTGGGCGGTCAGGTGGGCGACGCCACCCCCGGAAGTGTGAGTAAACCACCCAGGGAAAGAAGCCGGGGAGGGAGCGGCTGGGGCCGCACTGAGGTTCACGTGCACCGAGCTCTTCACTGGAGAGCAAAGGGGTCGGCTGCGGTTCCCGAGAGAATCGCTGCACTCTTTATGGAAACCTCTGGGACCGGAGGCCAAGCAAAAGGCCTCGTCCCCACGCCGACGTCCCCACTGTCATGCGGCCAGCGGGGCAGTTGGACCAGAGTCCTGAGTGAGCGTCCCTGAGGTGTGAACCCCTGTGGGACCCCCACACGGAACTCTGAGCCCCCGCCTCTTCATGACAGGGTGGCAACTGGCTGCTGGAAGCTCCCATTTTACAGGAGACCTAGAACTGCCTTTTGTCCAACAAAAGCCCCCAGGGCTTCAGCGTGTGTCCCACGGGCTTCCGTGCACACAGGTCCCTTAGAGGCACGGCCGTCCTGTGTCCTCTGAATGGGGCAGGGCCAGCCGACCCCCGGGGACATCGGATGGGACCGCAGCGTCTCTGCCAGGAGCTCCACGCGCCTCTCCTAGGGCCCCAAATGTGGGGGAACAGGGCGCTCCCTGGCCTCTGGGACACAGAGCTGCCGCGGGGCGCCAGCCGAGGCCGTGCCGGTCGGTCTGGGCGGCCCTGGTGCTCCGGGGCAGGGCGCAGCAGTGGGTTTTGTAGGAGGCCGGTGGACCAGCCATGAAAGCAGCATTGTCCGGCGCGGCCCAGCACGGCCCGCATTCACCTCTCCCTGTTGTTTGCAGGAGAGGCAGCTGCGGACCCGGACAATGGGAGCCCCTCGCAGGACCCAGCGGTGACAGACTCCAAGTGCACGGCGGGCCCAAAGAATGCCTGGCCGGACGCCAGCCCAGCTGACCCCGGGGGCCGCCCCCACTTGGCCCGCCTCTTCTCCCGAGACGCCCCGGGGAGGGAGGACAACACCTTCAAAGACAGGCCCTCCGAGTCAGACGAGCTCCAGACCATCCAAGAGGACAGTGCGGCAGCCGCGGGGCCCCGGACGTGATGGCCGCCCAGAAGAGACCCTCGCAGCGGCACGGGTCCAAGTACCTGGCCTCCGCGAGCCCCATGGACCACGCCAGGCACGCCTTCCTCCCGAGGCGCAGGGACGCGGGCATCCTTGACTCCCTGGGGCGCTTCTTTGGAGGCGACAGGGGCGTGCCCAAGCGGGGTTCGGGCAAGGTGAGCTCCGAGGAGTCGGGCGCGCGCTAGTCTAACGAACTGGAGCGGGGCAGCGGCGGCCGCGGCGCCTCCCTCACAGGATTTGCCGTCAGCCCGCAGGGCCTCGTCTCTGCTGGGAAAGCTCTCAGTCCCTCGGGGGCCAGGGCTGCAGCTGCCCGGGGGATGGGGGGACTTCGGGACTTCTGCACCCTGGGGCGGCGGGCTGTGGCGCGGGGCCGGCCTCCGGGCTGCGGTCGGCGTCTTGCTCTTGGGGCTTCCTGGCTGCTTGGGCTTCTGCTGGGCCTGCTCCTTCTCCCTGGGACTGAGGTCTGTGCCTGGCGCTGCGACAATAATGAACGCGATTGTGGAGCCCAGCGGGCATCTGAATGCGCCATGGGCAAACTCCCTCCCTCGCCGGGTTGGGGAGGGGAGCGGGGGGAGAAGCCTGTGTGTCTCTGAATCAAAACTGCTGTTCTGTGACTCCATTCATCTGAGCACCGAGCCTGCCAGCCTTTACTGTGAAATGTTCTGTAGGTAAAAATGCGTGGCAGGGAAGAGAGCTCCTGCGTGGGCCCCTCCCACAGCGTGGCCCAGAGCTGGGTGTGAGCAGGTCCCGCGTGGCCCTGTGTCAGGAGCCCCCCGGAGTGGCGTTGGGGCACATGGCAGGTTGTGTGGCCCGGTCACGCGGTGGGCGGACAGCGTGACGGGGAAGGAGAGAGGCTTTCAGAAACCGGGCCTGGTGAGCCACGCACAGGTCACCCGGTGATGCCGCTCTCCCTCCGGCTGGGGCTGCGCTTGCTCTGGGGAGGCCGGTGGGGGGCCTCGCCCGGGAGCAGGGCCCCAGAAAGCCCGCGCTGCTCAGAGCTGGCGAGTTTCTGAAACCTGCTTTTGTGTGTGACCACCACGCCGCAGTGAGTGACGAACGTGACATTGTTGAGGGTGACCGGTGTCCGTTCTGCCCACTGCAAGGGCGTCTCGGGCCCAGGTTTTCAGTGCCGCCCACGTCTTTGCGTCCACCCGGAGTCCAGGTCTCCCTTGTCGTGACTTTGGGTGAATGACACTTTGCGTATATTAAGGGCTTACAGAATTCACTTTCTGGCTGTTTTTTCTGGGTCTGTGTGTAGCCATTTCTCTTCCCTTTGCGGCCGGCTTCGTGTCTGGAGTGGGGGTCATCTGACCCATTTCTAACGCCAGCGCCAACCTGAGCCGCTTTGCCAGCACCGCCACCCGCCCCAGCAGACCCTGGCTGCGGGCGAGGTGCACTCCCAGGCTACGCAGCCCACGGGCGCGCCGCACCTTAAAAACCTTGCACTTTCTGCTAAACCTAAGGAGCAGGCAACATATATGTAAACTGTGCAAAAAAAAGAGAAAAAAGAGGAAATGTCTGAAGAGCATATATTATAAAATAAGCTTCATTTAAATGTCATAGTCCAAGTTCAAATAAAACTGTGGAAGCATTTGTCTGCAGCATCGTGACTTTAATCTCCAAGTGGGTGTGTGTGTGCACGTGTGTTTTCTTCTGTTCTGAGGATTTTGGCCTCTACTGCTCCAAGTCTCCAATATTTTCAGCGAAAAGGTTCCACTTGCAGAAGCAAGCACCTCCTAGGCAAACAGATTTTCAGGGATCTGGGAAAACCAGAACGTTTTTACAGGATCTTTAAACATGGAAACAAGGTGTGAGCAACTGCTTCCGATTTCAGAAAGTGTCGGTTGTGTCCACCGCTGACTGTTGGATGAAGGCTCTAAAGGGCCGGGCCCTTCCCTCTGGGGCCGTGGCATCAGCCGGAGGCTGTGGGGTCACCGCGCGGCGGCTCGTGAAAGCGCAGGGCAGGGAACGCCACACTGCACGGGGGTGTGTGGACTCCTGGCCGTGTTTGTTCAGCTCCCCTGGTTGGGGTGGAGTCTTCGTTTGCTTTGAAGCACAGGGTTGGGGGGCCGCACCCCCCAGACACCCAGCTCAGGCCCCCAGCAGCCCTGGGAGCCCAGGGGCGGAAAGGGGTGGGCCGCCGAGTGTCCGGTTCTGATGCTGTGTTTGCCGGGCTCTGTCTGGGCCTCGGAAGAGCCTGGCCTTCGGGTGTCCTTGGGCAGAAGCTGGGAAAGAGGGGACCCCAAAGGTCTGGCCGTCATTCGTGGAAGCCTGGTACACCAAGGCATTCACCGCTTCTCGGGCCATCAGCTCGGGGATACAGGGTACTAATGGGCGCCCACAGGCCAGACTGGCTGGTGGCGCTGACGGGCGTGTATCCGGGGAAGCAGCTGTTCTGGGCGCCCCTGAGAGTAGGGTTTCTGTAGAGTCAGGCGGGCCTGCTCGGGGCAGCTGCCGGCTCGGGGACAGGGGCTGTGCTGCCCGGGACCCCCGCCCTCCCTGGGCCTGGGCCAGCGCGGCCCCCAGTCCTGGGAATGCACCCCGCGCCCACCCCCTGGGGGCGGGGACCTGACATTCAAGGAAAGTGCCCTGCAAAGTCCCTGAGGAGGCGGGCCCTTCTGAGAGCCGAGATGAAAAGGGCTTTGACAGAGAACACGCTCCTTTGTCGTCCGGAGGGCTGCTGCCGGCCGGGGACCAGGCCCCCAGGCCCCTGGAATGTGGGTTTGGGAGGGGTGCTGGGCACCAGGGCTCAGGTCAGAGTGCACGCTCTGTGTGCAAAGGGTGGCCCTCCGCGGCCACGTCCTCGCCGCCTGACCCTTCACAGAGCCTGAGTTGCCAGCCTCACTCCTGGGCCTGGGACCGAGGCTGCTGTACGAGACGCTTGTCCCTCTTTGTCTTGTGGCAGGCAGGGTTACGAGGTAACAGCTGGACACGGCTTCAGGGCGGGTGCTCACGGTTGTCTCTCCCCGAGTCGGGCCCCTCCCCAGGGTGCTGAGGGCTCGTTTCTGCCCTGGCCACCGCGTTCCCTGTTCGGTCTGTGTGCCTTCCTGAGAGTGGACAAGCCTTCATCACCCCGAGCTCCTTCCTTCCAGCCTCTGGCGTGGATCATGTGGGATTAGAGCATCGCCGTGTGATGCTCGGGCGAAATCCTTTCACCAACCAATCAGCTCTGTTCCCTGACCTTTCCCCACCGCACTTGAATTTCCCTCAGCCACAGTTCAGTTCCACAGCAGCTCGATTCCCCAGCGTTGACACGACACCCTGACTGTGGACTCTGCCACGTCGCTCTGCGGGGAGGGTGGCGTGGGGAGTGGCAGGAAGGACCCCCCACCGCAGGAGCCTGGAGCCCCAAGGTCATGCCCAGTGGCAGTGCCCCCCACCTCCACTCAGTGGGGTGGCCCACAGGAGCGAGTCTCGGTGGCCATGGCCCAGCCACTCGGTGCACCGTTTGCCCAGAGACCTTTCTAGAGAAAAGCCAGGTGTGGTGGCAGGTGCGTCTGTGCCCGACAACGCGTTTGGAGACGTCCTGCGGGAACTCCTGCCGCAGTGGCCGTCGGGCCCACCCGCTGCTCTGCCACCCGCTGTCCCTTGTCCTGCCGCCTCCCCACACCCTCAGCCGTCCTCGGTCAGAATGTCTGGCCCCCCCGGGCTGTTGGGGGTCTCGATGGGTCCGCTGAGCCCTTTGTAAACTCCGTTTGTTGATGTGTTTACCGGGGACCGCCTCCTGGTGATGATAGGCCAGTGCGGCTGTGGAGAAATTTGGCTCTTCATCTATTTCTTCCTTTTCACAAACTTATTTAACGCTGTAACAGACCGAGCGAGCGTGGTGCACTAACCGGGCGAACGTTTTTCGCTGTCCTTCCTGGTGCCCCTCCATCACTGAGCGCATTTGTTGCTGGTGTTTCTCTGGCTCCCGGCCCGGCGCCGACAGGTGAGTGGCGCCGACCGGTGAGTGGCGCCTGTCGCTCCCTGGGCCACCTCCTCACAGAGACGGGCATGTGTGCACCAGGTGGGGGCGAGTGAGCGCAGGGTCGGGGGACATGGGAGGACCTGGGGGGGGGGCCGGCTCTTCCTCAGGACGACAGGAGCACCGGAGATGGGTAAGTTCGGGCCGGGCCCGGGCGGATGAGGGGGAAGCCGGGACGCATCAGCTCCGACCGGGCTCCGGCCCCGGGCGCACAGCCTGCCAGCTGCCCTGTCCTCACGGGCCCCCGGGCTCTCCCCACCATTTCCCTCTGGTGTCACTGACTCCAGGTCACAGGCAACTCTGTGGGGGCCTGGGGAGCTTACCCCAACCTCCCACCTCCGAGGGGCCTGTCACCTGCAGGGAAACCGAGCCCTGGCCAAGAGGGGACCGCCCCGAGGTCCCCACGATGGCCACGTACACTCTTAGACGCTCCGGAATCATTGGACTTCACAGAAAATGGCAAAGGGGAGAAGAGGCAAAGGCAAACTGCCCCTCTGAGGGGCCCCACTAGCGTGGGGCTGCCCTCCGTCCCGGTCCCCCAGCCCTCTTTGGGAGCAGGGCCCGTGCCCTCTCTGAGGCCGCGCCTTCCCGGACCATTTCCTGCCTTTCTGAGCACCTGGAGACACAGCTGTCCTCCTCCTGCCCACTGGGACAGGCGGCCGCAGGGAGCCAGGGCTCAGCTGCCTCTCCCGAACCCCGGCTAGTCCCCAGGGCTGGGCCTGAGGCCCGCGGTCCGTCCCCCCGGCCCCTCCCGCCCCACCCTCCAGGCTGCACCCCTGAAGTCCCCTGTGACTGCTGGGGCGCACAGCCACCGCAGGGCCAGCTGGACAGGTCTCAGAGACGCCCCTCCTCGTGGAGAAGGGACAGTGTCCTCCGCAGGGGAGAAATTCGGTGGAACGTTCCCCTGGTCTGTGGCCGCGTGTGCGGTGTGGACGTGCCTGTTCCCCCCTCAAGGGTCACGACTCCCTGTGGGGACAGCCAGGCCTCGTCTCGGCAGAGACAACACAGGCCGGGCCGTGGCGCAGACCCACGGCGAGAAGCTGCCTCCGCATGCGCGCCCCAGCACCACGGAGAGCCGCCCTCACCCGCGGCTGGTGCAGAGAGGCCCCCCGAACCCCAACACCCGAGTGAGCTGGGCGGCCGAGCTCGCACCCCGCGGACCTGCCTCTGGAGGCCAGGGGGTCCCCT